TTCCATCGGGCAATTTAATCCAAACCAATCTATAGTCTATCAGTCTATCTATATACAAATATACGTCTAATACAATCACCTTGCGTCAACTATATGCAGGGCCATCGCCAAATGAACACCCACCATTCCAAATCACTTGCTCTCATTAGGAATGACAAAGTGCAAAACACCAGGCGCCTCGTTGTGGCCATGGCCCTTCTCAGAGACATAGATGCACTTCCTGAAGGTCGTCCAGAGCGAGTACAGGAAGCTCTCCTGCTTCTCCTCGTGATAGTTCGCACCCAACAAAGGCTGAATGGCGTGTGTGGCCTTCTCTGCGTGGTAGAAAGGAATGCGGCTGAACAAGTGGTGGACCACATGATAATCAATGATCTCGTGGAAAAAGTGACGTCCAATGAAACCGATGCTGCGATCAATGGTGGCCAGAGCACCCTTGGTATAGGTCCAGGTCTCGGCGCTGTAGTGAGGCACGGCAGGGTGGGTGTGCTGGAGATAGGTAATGGCAACTAGTACTGTTAGATCTGCTTAACCCATCGTAGAGAGGAATGTGAACTGACTCAGCCAGTGGTGGACCCAGAGGTAGGGGATCAGGTACAGGAGAACAACGTTCCAGCCTCCAATCTGAGTCGAGGCATAGTACAGAACGGATCCCATAATCAGCAAGCCCAGGTCGGACAGCGCAATGCTGACCCACTGAGCACGAGTGAAGATGTCTCCGAAGGGGTTGAAGTGGCTCGAGACGCCCTTCAGCGGACGGTTCTCGGGCAAACTTTTCGGACCAGCGGTGACATTCAGGAACAGATACAGCTGCCAGCCCATGAGCTGGTGACCAATGAGGTGGACGAAAGAGACAATTGGGGTCTCCTCGGTCAAGTGCTTCAGCTGTTCAATGCGCACGTTCTTCTTCTTGGCCAGCTGCGAGTCGGTCCAGGGCACAAAGACCGTATCCTTCTCCATGTTACCAGTGTAGCGGTGATGGCGAGCATGGGTGATCTTCCAGGAGAAGTAGGGCACCATCAAGAAGGAGTGAAGCGCCCAGCCGACGAAGTCGTTCAGCTTCTGGTGACGTGAAAAGGCACCATGACCGCATTCGTGGGCCAAAATCCACAACCCGGTGCCCACACAGCCCTGGAAGAAGCCATAGACAGCCCAGGCGATGATCCGCAGCTCCAGTGTAGGGAGGAGGTAGATGTGAAAGGCGGCGTAGGTCAGGATAGCGCAGTAGAGGATATCACGCGCAACGTAGAGGAGGGAGGTGACGGCCGAGGAGTCGAAGCACTCCTTGGGAATCGCATCCTTGAGGTCTTTCAAATTGGGGACTGTGTCATCTTCGACTTCCTACAAGAGGAGTCAATCAGTATACGGAGTATATAAGCAGGTATCTCAAGCATACATACCACCACGGTGACAATGGGCTCCTTTTTGCGTAATTCGGTCAAAGTCATCTCTGCAGACTATGATCCCACTGAAAATTCCGAACAGAGGGGATTGAAATTGTGTGAAAGGGAAGCAGTGTGTGGCCTTCTGAAATTTTGTAGGGGTGCCATTGTGAGTAAATTCTTTGATCAGCATCCACTAAGAGGACCCAATCAGGCTAATCGTGTTCCTGACTTCTTCTGGAAGGCTTCTCGCCACAAGCAGAAAGCTGCGGTTGAACCACGGAACGGTGTCAGACTCTGTATTCACGCTAAATATCAATATCTCGGCGCCCCCTGAGTGGCTAACTTTCTTTCCAGTGTGGAAGACGTTCTACCCAGTCGAGGCCCTCCCGCGGAATCTGCCCGTGCACAGTGGAGGTCACAATCCCAACAGTTTCAAATCACAGTCGGATCTGGAGCAAAGTTGGTTTCTCTTGATGTTTTTGCGGGACAGAAGAACAAGGATAACTTGCTTCTTCAGGCTGGAGTATCGATAAGCTCTCAGATGGCAGGAAAAGGGGAAGCCCCTCTTTGGTCTCCCCTGATCTGCTACTCCGTAGTTGATAACTTGATGCCGCAGAAGTAAGGGATGATCGGCTGCAGCCAGAAATCCCCGTCCCCCACCGCCCTCGCATGACACCAAACCCCTTTGAGCTTAGCCCTCTCGTTTTCTGCCTTAAACCCTTAAGGTTTTTTTGGTATTTTTTTAGTGTCAACGTTTTCGCTTTCTCAACAATTTTTAGCGAGTCGTCCATACGGTCAATTTGGACTCGTATTCTTTTTTCTGCTCCTCTTCTCGGTCGTCTACAGCTCGTCTTAGGGCTTGTCAATACAGAGGTGATTCGCTCTTCGCCTATTGGCTATTGGCGATGTACACTGAGTCGATCACGCCCTTGCGGCAATAGTTCGGGGTTTGATAGTAGCAGAGCCCTCACCGAGCATCCCCGTCGCATACACATAATGTTACTAATTTCGGCACTGAGAAGACGCTGTCAAAATGGCGTATCTGTTCTTTTCATGCCATCAACTCTAAGAAATTGGTCAAAAGTCGCCTCTCTCCTTCATAATCCAGCCCTACAAGAATCGCTTGGCCGCTCAAAATCACCCCAAGCTGCTGCTTCGTGACGGACAACATAAACCCAGGCTTCTCCTCTGATTCCACTTGTTCGATGGTCGTGCGGGCTGTCAACACCACACTAATTACAATCAATCTCCACCAGCGGCCCATGTCTCTCACATGAATGTCGATCACAAGGGCCTCACTTGCTGCCCGAGGCTCATTGAGCCGGACGGACAGCAGACTCAGCCACTGCTCCACCGAGTGAAGGGGGTGAGCCCCCGGCCCGCCAGCCCCGGAGTACACAGTATGGCGCTCAACTTCTTCGCGGAGGTCCAGCGCCCCGGAGAGATACAAATTTCTCCACGTCGAACTCTCCGCACCGTAGCCCAGTCGCTCCAACACAGAAGCCAAAGCCAACCAAGGCTTCTTATCGGTTGGATGCAAGGCGACTGCATGTCCCAAGAGCGTAGCAGCGAATCGCAAATCCCCTTCGCGAGCGTACGCCTCGGCTTTCTGCGCCACTGTATCGATTCCTCCCATGCAGTCGACGCAGCGCCTTGCGTTCTCTACAGGCGGAGGCTTCCAAAGATGGATCGGGTTGCCGTCGAACCACCCCATGTAGCGTTGATAGATGCCCATGACGTTGTGGCAGGCCGATCCGTAGAATCCCTGTGCATGCCACGCCCTTCTGCAGCGCCGGTGGCAGAGTCAACGTCTCGGCGATCTCAATCCCGGTCAATCCCTGGTTCATCATCCGGACTGCCTGATCATGGAATAACCATACAGATCCCTCTGTTCGGCAATCAGCCGTTGAATCTCTCTCCGGCCCCAGGTCGGCCAATTATGCCCGGCACATAACACCTCCGACCGACCCCCGAGCAGGACGAGCGACTCATCCAGATATCTTGCCCAAGCCTGCGCATCCCTCACCAGCACCCCTCTCAAAGTAACGATATTATGTAAAGAATGCGTCGCACACTCAGCGATGTAAAGCGCGCGATGATCCGGAAAGAAGAAGTTCATTTTCGCTGGCGCCTCCGTGTCCGGCACCAGCTGGAACTGGACCCTAACCCATCGACCACCCTTCCCTCCCCAGTGACCGTGATGTGCTGATTCGGCGGGATCAACGAGGGCGACATTTCTGATTCCCCATATTCTCCTTCCAAAAAAGTCGACCTTCACTATATTGAGCGTTAGACGCAGGCAGAAAATGTCGGGTTCGAGCAACTTACGACGAGAATGCTGGCCGATATCTGTTATTTCGTCCTAGGCGAGATCCCAGCGACCGTATATATGGTCGTCAAGCCATTTACGCGCGGATCTATGAAGACACGATGGGTACGTGATGGATAAAAAGCGAGTAAGCGAGTTATAGGTAATGCTAGTCTCTCTTGAGCTTGTCAATCTGGTCGATGATTGCTTGGGCTATGGAGGCTTTTGGGCAGAATGATTATGAAGATCAAGCAGAGTTTGAGCCAGTCTGCTCATCTGGGTGGTGGGTGTCGAAATTGAGTAACGAATGCTATAGGTGGTTTCATCCTCAGGCGGTTGGTGAGATATTAGCCTCATTAGACAGGACGGGAGGCGAGTTCAAGATCAAGAAGCTAACCTTGCAATAATAGCCGTAGCCGCCAACGAGGCCCTGACTGCCAGCTACATCAGTTTCTAAGGAACATCTCAGTCACGGTAGCCTGAGCGGCAATGAGACCAGCCAGAAACAGGGATAGAAGGAGCCTGGAGATCACAGTTGAAACGTGTGAGATTCGGTTGCTGATTGCAAGGAGGGGAGTGACCATTATCGAGAATCCTGGGTGAGAATCAAAGAACGATGCTAGACAGTGGGTGGTTGAGAGGGATCGGACAGAGGATGCGTTACGCAGACCACCGCAGCCAGTGTGATAAACAAGCGCTACCCATCAGAAACGTGGTAAGAAGATAGGCAGAATATCAGTCTGTCTCAGCTGATTCTCGTCATATACACCCGGCAGAGCACCTAGTCCAGGCCTCACTGAAGTAAGAGATGAATAAGGTAGCTCAGCGAGCTGGCAGCGCAACATGTTATGTTATTATTGACCACCAAGCCCACTTCTTGCATCACTAAGTAATCGGACTGCGTTTCAGATTCTGGCAAAAGAAATCATATTCTATCCACATGCATGCTGCTGTCCTCATTAAGCATTAATCTATAGTCACCCATATTTTGATCTAAGCTTCGTAATTTCATACCATGACTTTTCACCTCCCTTTCTCAGACCTCTACCGGAGTAGCAGGTCTAGTCGCCATCGTCTCCTCCTTCTTCTTTCTCTCATCCTCCATCAACCGCTGACAGAAAGGGCTCTTTCTCCGGATCCACTCCCCAGCATAGATAAACATCACTGGGATGGGAATACACGCCAGACTGGCGAACCCCAGAATAGACGTTGCCCACCCCACGCCCAGTGCAGAGTACATGGGGTCGGCAGCCAGTGGGAACACAGCACCAAGAATGCTTCGTGTGATCAGCGAGGCAGACAATGCGCTCGCGGAGTAGATCTTGTACGCGTCGGTGACATATGTCAAGAGAGAGATGAAGATGATCTGATAGCCGACGCCGAAGAACAAGCCCGAAAGAGCCGGTACCAGCCAGTAAACGTGACGATCCGCGGTCCAAGCAAGCCAGAAAAGACTTATTGTAAGACAGGGACCGCCGATAAGGCAGATTGGAAGGCGCTGGTATTCTGGGATGGTGGTCCACTTCTTGCCCTGCGCTTTCGCTTTTTCATAGTAAATGTCGTAGTAAAGGGATATGAGGCCGGATGAAGCCGCGCCAATACCGACTGCGTAGTTGTTAGCATGCGAAGCGGAGGTGAACTCGGGCAGTCATACTAGGTAGAAAGCAGAGAGAAGTCTGCTGGACGTCAAAACCATATGTTCCTGTAAAGCTCTGTCAATGATTCCCTCTTCATTTAGCAGGAAGATATCACAATGAAGCTTACCTTCAAAGATGATAGGATATGCCGCAAAACAGAAGAAAATGAGGGCGTAGGCAAAAGAGATATAAAGAGCACTGAACAGAATGATAGGCTCGAAGATGACCATGGTAATGGGTCTGGTAAATATTTCGAGAAGATTCGTATTAACCTCTACCTTCTTGAGGTCAAGCTGGGAAATGTAGGTCTGTGTTGTAGATGTGCTGTTCAGCTGTTTCACTTTCCGTTTGAGTATGACGCGCGCAAATGTTTCTGCTCACGCAGCTCGTCAGTATACACATTACCCTTGCCGGGCCTTTGAATAGCACTTACCCGGAAGAAAGAGCGCGCCAAGCCAGCAACATCCAGCTAGTATCAGATCGATCCGAAAGGCCCAGCGCCAGCCATACTGTGCGCTGCACCCCGACATGATCGGTCCCACAATGGGACCAAAACTTGCAGCCTATCCTCTTGGGTTATTCCAAATGCACTGAAACATTAGACGGAGAGTAGCCGAGCAACGTACAGACATATAGAAGGTCATAATGCGGCCACGGATCCGTGGGTTCGAGAACATGTCTGCATATACGCCACCGACAACTGTCTGCGGGGCAGCGCCCATCGCACCACAGATAAAACGAAATACCAAGAACGATGGCCAATTCGGTGCCAAAGCACAGGCAAGTGTCGCTAGAACAAAGACCGTGAAGCTTCCAAGTAGAACATCTCTTCGTCCAATTGTTTCACTGAGAGGACTAAACCCCAGAGGACCAACAACATATCCAATCAGAAAGATCCCAGATGGCAGAACCTTCTGTGAGCTTCCTTGGATGCCGAACTCCTCCATGATGTATGGAACAACATTGCTAGGCAAAGAGGACGAGATTCCGGAATTGAGGACAAGGAACAACGCAGAGAGAACAGTGTATATCTTCTTGGCCTTCAAACAACCACACCGGTTAGCACAATCAAGACGAAGCCTCTGTCTTATGCTCAAGAAACATACATTGCTCCAATTTGTTGGGTGTGCTATCGAATCATGGTCGAAATCTACCACAGTTCGATCGTCCATCAGTTTAGTTAACTGATATCCTTCTATGGGTGTCGTAGTTGAGCTTTCTGAGAGACCGGATAGCGCTCGATTGTTTTGAAAGGCATTTTTCTCATCTGTCATACTGCATGAGACACGAACAATGCGAGGGTAGACCTTCAGCTCCTACCTGCGGCATCATGTTTGGGTATAGAACCCTCGACGGGTGTTTTTGTAGTCATTTTTCTTCTCGTGCTTCTAGTGCAAACGAGTTCAAAAGAAGACAAGTAATCTTGAATATCCTGTGGTGTGCTTGTATAACTTCATTTTGTCGCTGTTGCGGATAACGACCGTTATATAGCGCTTTCAACTAGTGGTACACTACAGCAATGAGGTATCCGTGAGTCACGATAACAACGTAACCCTGCGCGCATTGAGGCATTTGATGGAGTTCTTGGCTTGGAATATGTTGCGAAGGCCCAATCGTAGACCTCGTTTACTCGGATTTTCGTCAATCGCCAAACCGGGGCCGGTCCGGCCCCGGTGGAGCGGGCTGTCCACACAACGGCCCCGACCTGGAGCCGGTCGATAAGTTCAATGTTGGCAACGCAGTCTAGAACTCCTGAAGCCCAGAAACTTTGGCAGACCGCGATGCATCAGGTCTATGACCCACTTCAAGGGACGATCACCGGACACCAAGGCACTTATGCAGTGACTCCCAAATCCCGTTCTACAGTATTGGCTGGGATTTGACTCACGTCCGTTGTCGAGTCCACCGCAACTTGGTCGCAGAATTATCTCACCTACTCTCTTATCAGTCTTGACTTTCTGTCAACGTACAGGTTGGCGCTTGTGATATTAATCCCTGAAACAGGTCCCTGCAATAGGCGTGGCCTTCACAAACGTGTTAGGAACTACCTGTTTCAGGGCGTACCACACGGTTCAGTCACACGTACATTACTTGTCCCACATGAAAGATGTCCTGCTTGATAGTAGATGCTCGAGCTTCTCGGTTACTGCGGCATCGAAGGCATCGCAGGGAGGAAATCAAATATGTCGTTCTGTTCTTCTTCGAACAGGCCGAATGAGTCTGCGATTGGGTGGCATAGGTTCCAGTTGGGAGCTTCCATTGGCCCTGGTGGCCGGGGTGGAAACTGCCTAGCAGGGGGCTGTCTGTCGGTATTGGGCATTGAAAGCAGGTCAGTATCTTTGACCCCTTGGTGGATCGTCTCCGTGGCTCCATAGCTAGCTTGCTCTGCTAGCGCCGATGCAGTCGATATGGCTACTTTATCACCGTCTAGATCCTTGTTCATGCCAAGCTGCTCATTCGCCAGCCTGGTGTCGTCTGGGGCATCCAAGTAATCGTCTCTTTGTCCGCGCTGGCTGGCGACAAGCGCGCGACCATAGTTCACAAAGATCGACACGGTTCGGTGGATATCCGGGTAGGGAGGTTGTTTAAGAAGGTCGCATATCAGCTGCGCTCTTTCAAGGAGCAAATCCTGATCAATCAGATCTGGCCTCCATCTCGCGATTCGTAGTGAAAATGTTGCTACTTAGAATCAGCTGTTTGGTGTCACCGTGAACAACAGGAATTACGGCTGTTAGAACAACTCACTGACAAAAGCTATTGTCAAGGCCGGGTACGTCGGGGTCCACGACAATTGGCATCTATATGATGTTTCCGAGATGATCAAACCCAGCTGGTCCATGGTTGCCGAAGCAAGCGAGCGCCATAAATGAGAAATGTCCGAATTATCGGTGTCAGTGTCTGATTCCGTGCTGCCGGAGCGTAGCTTCTGGATCCTAGCCAGCGATGCGCAAAACGCGAAGATTCGTGCATAGTTATGCATTAGTTTGAGACTGCAGCGCTGGAACGCCCCCGCATGAAAGCCATTATCTTCAAGGAAGGTCATAGTTAGCATCCACGAACATGTTGGTCCGGGGCGTGGTCCTTACTCTTATGGATCTCATCCCACGTATTCCACCATGTCTGTAATCTTGACATGACAGCTGGTAGTTCAATGCTGGCGATCTCGCGGATGGTTTTGGAGTTTTCGACTATCATACGGAATTGACCTAACAACGTCAGAGACGGGATCTAGGGATAGAGAGCCGTCCACTTACTCCGGAGCTGATGTAATTCGATAATGGATATGGTGCGCATGTCGCAAGGCAAGGACAGCGGGTAATCGAGGAATCTACGTAGTTTAGTAGTATCGACAGCGTCAATTCTGGACTTGCGACCTGTGCCGGATGCGACATCCAGTTCAAGGGTGAAGCTAATCAGCCAAGTCCTTGTCTGCCATACCAGCTTACGCTCCTCCAAGGTAGCAGAAAGAGCACTCCTGGGTACATCCTTCTGTGAGAGCAAGGTATCCAGGGACTTTTCTAGGCCGGAGTCTAGAGCAGTGCGTAAGATTAGAGCCGTGGAGAACCATGTTTTCTCTGAATAGGCCGCGAGCAGGATCATCCCCTGAACCGTTTCGACTTTCGTCGGTCGTTCAAAGAAGCTGTCCTCCGCCAGCCTCTGTGCTTCATCTTGCAACACACGCTGCAAATGGGTATTGCTTCGTAGATCAATGACAGCACGGCTAGCTATGTAGATCATGACCGAGAAGCAGAAAAGCGAGCGCGATCGGATCGAATCGAAGGTGTCGCGGATGGGATCAAAGAGTGCGAGAAAGTTCTTACTGCCGTTGAAGAACCTGATCTTGAAGCTTAGTGTTGTGTTCGCCTACATGCTTCAGGGGTTGTACATACCGTTCATACATCGACCGTGCCTGCTCCTCACTGATGATGCCTCGCGCGATGATGTCGCTCCGGAGATCAGCCTTGTTCGGGCTATCCATGAATATCTGCTATCGCATTAGCGATGTGCACTTCGTGATATGAGGCCAACGTACACTACTAGACCCCAGCAGATTCACGGACATGGAATGCACCACCGACACGGGGGCAATCATATCATTAGGGCTCAATTGCTGACTATCTTGACCGTGCTGCTCAGAGGTTCCTGGCGACCGGAGATCCGTCGAGTCAGGCAAGTCGTCGAGCGAGGCATTCAGGGGATCGTTCTGAACAGCCGGCCCGGGCGAATATTCTTGCTCTCGGGACGAGGGTGTATCGAAACCGGTCGGTTCATTCCACGGGGATCTCGCTACTTGTCGCCTAGAACCATATCAGCCCACTGCATGGCACCGGTTCAGTTCCCGAAATCACCTACCGGGAGGGCCTGGGAGAGATGTGACGCTGGCTGCGTCGCCTTTCGTCAACAATGGGATCGAGGATACAGTCGCGACCAGCACTGCGGCAGCGTGCACAGGGGACCTGGCTGCGTGCATCGCAACGCATTTTCTGTTTCCTGCACCAGCGACATGCCTTGAAGAAGCGCGGAGGAGCATTTCCCGATCGGAAGCGTAGTTCCGACATCCTTTCGCTCGTGGTGGGAATAATATGTAGCTTCGTGGTTTCGAGTTTCCGGTTGAGATGGTTTTGCGAGGAAATTCGGGAAAGGTGGAGAGCGAATGATGGAGCGGCTTCTCGGGGGGCTTTCGGCCGACCGGAATTGCGCCTACAATTCTTCCAACCATCACGACTGTTCAGTATTCAGTGAAGTTGACCTCCACTGAGTATGAGAAGCCAATTCTCGCTCACTGATGTTGATCTCTAGATCACAATTTCGCGACCAATCAATTTGCAGAACTCAATCTACAGTCTGCCAAGATGCGGAGAGAATGTACATTCGTGATGTCATTCGCGCCCCTTGCTTGCTCGGGTTGAATTCGAATTCGCGAAGGATAAGAGACTGCGGAGTACTACATGATCACCGTCTAAACTAGAAGCAAGAGTTCGACTTCCAGATTATCATTTAACCGACCCATTCTCCACGGCTCCATATCTCCCTTATGCTAAAAGAAGCGTGCTTTACCTCGGACCTCTTTTTCTCTTTAGAACTCTGGTTGATATATTCGTAAAACCCACCGCTACTTCACCAAACCAATCTAAGCATTCCTCTCATTCCAATTCCGATCAAACACATTCAACGACCGCTGAGCAGACGGAACAAGATCCAGCGCCTTCACTGAAGCATTCACCGGCTGCTGCAACATGAAAACTGCCGCTCTGGCAATATCCTCCGACACCAAGGGCTGATACCCCTCAAAGAACCGATCATACATCTCCTTATCATGCCCCACGCGCAGCGAATGGAAGTTTGTAGCGACACATCCCGGGCGCAGGGCGAGAACGCGAATGTTCGTCCCACTCAGCTCATTGCGGAGCGCGTTCGTGAACCCTTCCTGGGCGGCCTTGTTGGTGTGGTAGACGCACTCCCCAGAGAATGGCGGCACCTCGAGCCCCGTGACGGAGGTGATGTTGAGGATCGTGCCGGCTTTGCGAGGGATCATGGAGGCGTTCAGCACGGCGTGTGTGACGAACATCCATCCGTTGATGTTGGTGTTGTTCATGGTGAGGATGTCGGCAATTTTGAGCTCGTGGAAGGGCGCGGGGGCGCCGAGAGCGAGACCGGCCTGGTGAGATGGGTTAGTTTTATGTAGTGTTTGGAATTGGGAATGAAGAGGGAGAAAGACATTGTTGATGAGGATGTCGATCTGGCCAAGCTCTTGTGTGCTGGACTTGACAGCAGATTCGACTGCTTCGTAGGATTGGATGTCTACCGCTTTGCTGATGATCTTGACGCTCGGGTGTTGTTTTTGAATTCGACCCGCGAGAGCGTGGAGTTTATCCTAGCCGTGATTGAACATAGTGAGTTTTCTCAGCGCAGTGCAAATGTCAAAAGCAAGTCTCACTTCAGATCGGGCAAACAGGATTAGGTTGGCGCCCTGTTCTGCAACTGAGCTAGCGATCGCCTCGCCGATGCCCATCGAAGCTCCCGTCTGCACTCATGTTAGCCAGGAACATCGGAAGAGGTAGGAGGGGTATGCACGCACAATAACCACATTCAGTCCTTGTAGTGACATACTGATGAGTCAAAACTGAATCCGTGATCATGCTTTTTGAGATCTAAAGGGGATAATTATAGAATATCCCCATGAAGCGTGGGACGTCATAGTGGGTACAATTTCAGGGTCTCGATTTCTAAGCAACAAAATTTCAGCATCTCCTATTGGCCGAAGCATGAACCATAAGCTATCGGGCTCTCGGGTGAGTATAGCAGCTGTGGGGATTTCAGGAATGGTGATAGCAGATATTTATGTATGTTCTGAACCCCGATCAGGTTTTAGAGGTCCGGATCTTGTTCAGTCTCCTTGATGGCATCAGTGACCTGGCAGACTATGATGATGAGCGCCTCTTAAGCTTTGCCTGTAGTGAGTGTCTCGTGATTTGACCAAGACAATGGAAGTCACCTAAGACAAAAAAAGAGAGTACTAGGTGCCAGTATCAATATAGCCGAGCTAGGAACAATTGTTTAGGTTTCTTATGATGTAGGAACCAAAGGTATATATATAACTTTCCCGCAATGACGGGTACTATTCTAGCGAACGAGAACTCTTATCGTAATGAGTTTAACGACACCTCACAACCCCGCATCTTGGCCAATCCTAGTGAAAGATTGCACATGCTCTGTGATATTAGGCAAATTCGTCGCAGGAAAACAAGCGACCGTCTGTTCCATACCTATGAACTGGTTTCCGGAGGTCCTGAAATCCAGCACTCGAAGCAGGAAAAGTACCGTAACAGCCTTCAGGAAACAACAGCAAATGCAGTCAGCTCAAAATCATCAGTCACCAGACGAAGAAAACAGGAGGTAGGATGAAACTCGGACTCGTCTCGAGTCCAAAGGACCCAGACCTCCGAGCCCCTAGCATATCTCGGTCGAGATGCAATCCTCATCGAGGTCGTGGTTCGATCCAAGTGCCCACATGCGCTGCTACTGAGAGACTGCAATGCAACCCGACCTCCTAGAAACTGTAGCCGACTGATCCGAAGCCGGCAGGAGGCCTTGGAAGTGGCTCGTTTACTCTGCACATCACTGAAGCCTGGCAGATACCGTCAGCCAGAGCGTTATGCACGAGTCTTGATCCTTTCATTAGAAAGAATGTGAGAAAAAGCTAAACCTGATGCAATGAGAGGCAGAGGTCTGGAGGGGTCCTTATCCTTCAAATCGAAGCTACTTGCAGACTGACAGAGCTTTTACGAGGGAAACTGGCGATACTTGGAGGCGAGGGACAAACTCCTTACCTCGCGCACATGAGAAGCAGTCATGAGATATTTTCGTCGCGCTTTAACCTGTGCGCCATTAATGTCAGGTATAGTGGCGCCTCATTGCGCCCCTTAAAAGGGCAACAATGTATATATTGTAAATAGAGCATCGAAGCAAGAATTGTATGGGAAATCAAGAGCAACCATGGGGCACTTCACAGAGACAAGCCAGCCTTCGACGAAGTCTTCAAAATGGCCCGTCAATTCTTATCTATTGATGAACGCAATCATCTTCGCCTTGGCAGGGATCTGTAAGGGGTTTGACGAAGGTAAGAGGCGAATATCCGCCTTTCATACCGTCAACCATCTAACTCAGCAGCGAACATCGCATGTCTGGTTGTGCAGTCGCGATTCCGCATCGCATTTGGAGTCGATAGGCAATCCCCGGACGAATATGCCAACACCACAGGGTGGATTGTATCAATATTCACGGCTGGGTCGATCTTTGGTTGTCTGGCTGTGAGTCTAATCCCACTAGATGGTGGTTACCAGACTGTTAACGGTCCCTCAATAGTGCTTGCCAGTCAACGATCGCCTCGGAAGAAGATGGAGTTTGCGTCTATCAACCTTGATATATGCAGCAGGTGTGGTTGGACAGGCCCTCAGTCATGGGAGTTTGTCCGCCTTTTACGCGTCCAGATTCATAGCTGGATTTGGTGGTGGTGGCATCACTGTCGTCCCTGCCATGTACATCTCGGAGGTAGTGCAATTCCTTTGACCTGGGAATGAGACAAGTGGGCTTATCAGTCTCCTAGATCGCTCCCAAGAGGATTCGCGGACTTCTGGCTATCCAGTACTCCACCTGCCAACAGCTGGGTTCCGTATTCGGTTTCTTCATCAACTATGGCCTCACAAAAGCGTATGACGGAATAGACCTGCAATGGATGCTTCCTACGCTCCTTCAGCTGATACCTGCCTTCATGTGGGGCTTCGGGACCTTTATGTGTGTGGAATCTCCGCGATGGTTACTATATGTCGGCCGGCGCGAACAAGCGGTTGCCACGGTATCCCGACTCCGGAGCTTGCCGAATGGTCATACCGAAGTGATGTCCGACATCCAAATCATGGAATCGCAGATCTTATATGAGCGAGAAGCTGTCGTAGGAGCGACACAGTGGGATTTAATGAAGGAACTGCTGGTTTCTGTCGAAAATCGACGCCGATTCCTGCTTGTCTTCATGGCGCACCTATTCTCACAGTGGTCGGGGGCCAGTGCAATCACGCAGTATCTCCCCACTATCTTCAGCTACCTGAACATCCCGAGTGAAACAGCCTCACTGGCGACCGGTCTGTACGCCGTGACCAAGTTTGTCAGCTGCCTGATTTTCTCATTGCTGGTGATTGATTTCATCGGACGTCGGAGATCTTTAATGACGGGGATCACCCTGCAGACCACTACCTTGGTCTACCTGGCGTGTTATCTTGGTATCTCTCGCACAATGACCGCTACCCACATCGCCGAGACTCCTAGCGTCTCTCGGGCCTCGACTGCGGCCATGGCAGCGATTTTTATCCATGGGGTGGGCTGGAATATTGGGTGGTATGGCATGCCGTACCTTATCGGGGCTGAGGTGTATCCGATCCGCATCCGATCACTGGCTGTCTCAATGGGCATGGCCTTTCACTGGGCGTTCTTTTTCGGATGTTCACGGGCGACTCCTGATATGCTGGAGGTGATGCAAGAATGGGGCGCATTTGCCTTCTTTGCCTGCATATGCTTCATCTCCCTGGTATATGTGTTCTTTGCCATGCCAGTAAGTGACTTCCGGGGGCATTGTCTGAGTTAGTACTCATCGTGAGTGCACTTGCTAACTTGGTTCAGGATACGACTGGACGATCTTTGGAGTCACTGGACAGTTTGTTCCAGAGGCCCTGGTACACAGTTTATCAGGTAGCATATGCAAAGAACGATAATAATGTGGGAGGGGTGGTATAAAACGGCTGAGGGGGGAAGATATCAGCTACAAACTGAAAGATCCTTCGGTTGGTGGGTAGTTCATTGTATGTACAGTAAATGATTAGTTTAAGTAGTTGATGTTCAACTTGTCCCGTGCGTGCTGCCGTTCCGTCCCACCTCAGCTTGTGTCACATGTCACGATACCTACATACAAACCTTCGTATGAATGTAAGTTAGCAAATTTCTACCTTATCCTACTCAGGCCCTGTCCACACTTCCTTAAGACGGTATCATTTGTGTTGATTAAGATTATAGTTCAAACTGGCGCCGGTTATTTAGGAGCTATATATATAAGAGCTTCTCAGTTACAACCGAATATGGCCTGGAACTAGCTTTATGCTCATCACGTAAAGGAATACTTATTTCTGGAGGTATTGAAGGATTGTAGTTACCTACTGAAGATGAAGCTAATTTACATCTAGTAAGTACTCAACGCCAGTCTAACTGCTTTTATCTATCATGCTCTATTCAACGTGTTTTCCTAACGTGTTTTCCTAGGAATCGCGGTCATGTTTGACCCAGTAGCCAAGATAAAGTTGACATTGAGACGTGCCAGGCGTAAGGATCATGTACAGAGCTCTCTCACCCCGCTGTCATTTCTGGGATACAGTGAACCCTGGAATTAACAACTCATGCAGCATGCACTCTTTGTTCGTTCTATACTGGCTCGAAAAGTCCCGTATCTAGAGGCTTTTATCCGTGACCGTTACAAGGCTTTTATGCAGAAGTTTAGTTGTATTAGTTCCTCCCGGTTTATATCCGTCAAGACCCACAACTCTAATAGTTGGTCTAGCCCAAAGGGGGGAAGAGGCCGAGCTCTGCCGCCGTCGGGCTTTATGAGCCACCGATCTTCCGATCCATACAAGTTATGTACTGTGCAGCAAGATCATCCAGGGAAGGAGGAATCATTTGGATAGCGTTGATGGAATGGATTGCCTAGTGCTGAGGACGGCAACCACAGAACTATCGTGGTAAGTTCCACGTGTACAGTCATATAACTAGGATTCCGGAATAGCCCATTGTCACCACGTACTATCTAAAGGACTATCTGTGCTATTTCACAGCCACATCTCTTTGCGGTGGTATGTATAATGGTAAGCTTTCAAGATATTTCTTCCTGCTGTTATAAATATTCCGGTTGACCCCAGTTAAATTAGAGTATGATAGGATCTTCAAGGATTCGAATCCCTTGAGGCGGTGAGATTATTTAAACACCGCTTTCCTTACTTAGTCTGGTTCTGAAGCTAGTAAGACCTCTTAGATGACCATTCTCCTGAGATTCATGGTGGTGAGAAACTGCTAGTATGACTGCTACTACACCTAGTACCACTCCAGAGGTGCCTCCGAAGTCTACATGGCTTAGCTGCGAGGATAGGATCCGTGTGTTTACTTAACAAGATGCAGGATTTACTTACCAACAAATTTCTGTACAATTTTGATTTACCTATCCTTTAATACAATATACGTGTCAAGATAAGCAATCAGCACCCTGAAAACCCCCGAGGCCAGCGTCCTAAGAAACCCGAAGAAGATATAAATATCATCTTTACCTTCATAACTTCGTCGAAACGTGCACGCTGTCTACCTTATAAACAGGTTGTCAAAGAACTCAATCTTCCCTGTGGAGAGACTGCACTTGCTCTAGCACTTTTAAAAAACGAACTTATTCTCGATGTAAAGCTCTTCAAAAGCCACCCTTAACAAAAGCAAATAAACGTGTACGTCTTGCCTGGGCCGTAGATCATATAAATTGGACAACATGAACAATGGAATCAAATTCTCTGGTCTGATGGGAGTTAGGTTACTTCAGGCTAGTGACCCGAATCTGGGTTACTAGAAAGGCAGGGAAAGCATTAGAAGAGACCCATCTTCGTACTTCTTCAAGAAAGCGTGGTTGGATGTTTTGGGGATCGTTACATGGAGATTCAAAAGGTCCTTGTCTTTTCCGGGAGAAGGAATGGGGTTCTATCAATGCAGACAGCTAAATGTGAACGCATTATACTTATTATTGATGGCTATATACGTTTGAATCGGCTGCAAGATAGCTATCTCTATCTTATACATGATGGAGCTCCTGGCCATTCTAGTTAAGATATTATAAAAGAATCTCATGAGCGTGGTATCTACCCTATTACTTTGCCTGCTTTCTCACCTGATCTAAATCCTATGGAAATGGTATGAAACTGGATGAAAGATTAAATTCAAAAGAAATACCAAGATGATCGATACTTATCTTATGACACTCTCCGAGAGGTTGTACGGGCTTCCTGGGATGCAGTACCTGTAGACTTTCTAGAAGACCTTACTAAGTCTATGCGATTTAGATGTTAGGCAGTGATTGAGGCAGAAGGTGATTATACAAGGTACTAGATTAATCATCTAAATATAAGCAGCAGAATCAAAGAATTCGGATCCTCGAAGGTCCCATCATACTAACATTCTTACCGGGGTCAACCGGAGTATATTTATGCGCACTTCCCAGTCGGCGATTGCCGAACTTACGCCATTGATCTATCACCCAGATCTAAAGAGCCTATCTGATCGGCAAAGTCCAAAAGAGGAGCAAGAAACAATTCCTCGGGTACAGAACCCCTCCCCTTCCTCTCACTAATATGTCAGGAGCCAGAAATATGGTGGGAAAGAATCAAATAAGCCTAGTGCTCGGAGAGAGGATGTTCGGGCAGTGGATCGCCATAATGGTAAGATCCACTCAATAAGTAGTAGAGCTTGTCAAATTTGAAACGGGCTCAGTCAAATATACCCTGCACAAAAATAGTCACGCTCACATAACTTCGAAGTGCCGAATTCCCGATCGCCGACTTTTAATCTCTCCAACCCCCTCTTTGACTTTTGTTAGTTACCCCACCAACTGCTTCGGGTTACTTCAAAACTTAAATATGGGCTAACTATGACATTCTTCTGTCAATTTACCTATTGTCTTCTACCCGTACTCGCTGCAGTAATGCGGCAAGTTTGGCTAGCATTAAAAGGGCTAAACTGGCAGTCCAACAAATGTAGTGCTTTAGAAATTGACTGATTGTCCGTTTTGATTACTGAGACCAGACAGCTGTCTACAATGGCCACTGCCGCATGAAAGACCATATTGTTGTCTCCTTTGAATTAGTATTATTCGAGATCCGATCCTTCATGCAGTCACTAAACTGACGTATTAACCGAGACTTCATGCCTATAAATAGTACAATTTGGAAAATCTAGTTCATTTCTTTACTACATTACTTCTTCTACGGTCCATTCATTTTCCCTTTCCTCCGAATTATATCGATTGCGCAGTTTCTATATTTCAGCAAGCTTCATAATGCTTTCAATATGGATGCCTTGTTTTTTGATACATTTAGCTTTTATCTCTCAGGTTGCCCTTGCTGAAGATTATATCTCAAGTACTGCACTTGCAGAATGTAGCTCTAGCACGGCTATTAGTGTGAATTACTTTGATGCCAAAATGTCACGATCCGGGATGCTCGACCTTGCTTTCACTGGCTATCTTGATATATCAGGCAATGTCGCAGCTGATATTGTCATATTGGTCTATGGATATGAGATTCTGAACGAGACAATTAGTCTGTGTGATTTGGGCCTGGATAGTCTTTGTCCAATGGCATCTGGTGCAATTGACCTCCCACAGGCGAGCTTGAATGTGTCATCAATCGCAGCAGCAATTCCTGGTTAGTAATATGCCCTTCATCCTTTATAAAATTCTTCTAGGCTCATCGTGCTTTTAATAAGGCATTGGATACACTGTGCCAGACCTGGACGCTACGGTCCTTGTGTACGTCAACAATCAATCGACAGGAAAAAGTCTATCTTGTCTGTCGGCTGATCTTTCCAATGGTCACACGGTGTATCAAGCCGCAGTTTCATGGGTTTTTGCCGTCGTTATCGGTGTTGGTTTGATCGGATCCATCGTTGCCTCGATCAGAGGCCTTGTTAATACCGCCACCCACCTATCTTTCTCATCACTGTCTTTATTGGATTTTATGCAGTCGCAGGGAATGGTTGGCCTCTGCTCAGTCAATCTACCACCTATAGCGCAGTCATGGACACAGACTTTCCTATGGACTTTGGGTATCGTGTATCTTGGGTTTCAACAGACTTTCAGTACGTGGTACTTACGTGCAACAGGAGGCACTCCATCTACCATCGTGGAAGATTCAAATATGATCTAAGTGGTTGTGGAGAAGCGGGACTTTTCAGCCAATGATCGCACTCCCAGCAGAAGTCTACTCAGAAGAGCATCCTCGGACGGGTCAGACAGGAGTGAGATCACAGTGAAAGGATTCAGTCGAATGGCTTACCGAGCCGGGATTGAGCCTAGCAATATTTTCATGACCTCTTATTCCTCATTCATATTCGTCGGGCTCACGCTCTTCGTGGTATTGGCAGCATTCCAACTTGGGTGCCGTCTTCTTAAAAAGTTCAATAAGCTCCCCCAATGCCTGGAGGACGCTTCAATGTGCCTGCAGCGTGCTGACCGAGCGCTGGTTCTCCGATTCCTGGCTATTAATCTCCCTCCAATAACATCTTTTGGCTTCTGGGAGCTCTCGCAGATTGATTCTAGTGGGATAGTCGTCCTGACTGTAACCTGGTGGATCGGGCTCATATTATCTCTGGCATGGACTACAGGTAATACTATCTTCCGTGTTCAAAGGGCTCGGAAATTGGACATAACGCCAGCATACGTCCTATATTCGGGCATGATCGGATCCAAGTCGATACTCCTGCACATACATTATAGAGCAAACGCCTACTACTTCTCCGTCATACAACAATTATACATCGTAACGGAAGGTCTTACTCTCGCAGCCAGCCAGTCTGTTCCCAAAAAGCAAGCCATTATTCTCGTGCTCATCAATGCTATTATGATGGGCATCACAATTTGGATTCGCCCTTGCATAGATGGAAGCACGGATCGCCGCGCCATCACGACAGCTGTCCTCCATTTCTTGAACTCCATCTGCGTCCTTATTTTCTCGGATATCTTTGGCGGACCCACAATTGTTGTCAGTGTCGTCGGTGTGATATATTGCATGTATAATGCAGTATATATGCTTGTGCTTGTGATGTATATCATTATCCCCTTGGTCCGCGCCGTCAGCATGAAAAACCCCGAAGCTCGATACAAAATCGTCAAGGACAATCGCGAATCATTGATTTAGCTACATACACCAATTCCATTGGAGCTTCACGATATGAGTATTACCGCTTGTGGAAAAGCAGAGCCTTCTGTGCGTTTATTGCATTCATAAAAGTTTTCCGCCACATTTTGAGCATGGAGACACCGGTCCCTGAGAATATCAAATGCATTTCCTGTGAAAATATATGTACTATATATGACGCTACTGTTTTTAGTATACACTCCCCAAGAAAGAGTATGAATGACTGGTTCAATTAGTAACGGTAAAGATCATTGAGAGAGGTTTATCGACATGACAAATACTATTCTTTTTTTTTTCAAAAGCACTTTAGCTGCTTTGGACACCCTCCAAATCTTGATATTGGCGCGCATACTCTTGGTTTGTCTCTTGTAGTCGTTAAACCGAAGCTACCATACAATCTCTGAAGAGAACCGAGAGCCTCTCAGTGTCTATCGTGATCTGTTGCCGTCTTTGCTGTTAGGTTGCCTCGTGGTGTGCGCGGCTTCGGAACCGTCTGTGATATTGTACTCACCCCTTGCCAAGAAGTATCCGGCCCCACAACTTCCTTTGTTAATCTGGAGGGTGCAGTCCCGTGACGGTCGTTCTCCCCACGCCATGCCGATCCCGTGCCCAGGATCTCGGCCAGCATTATGAGGTATGCAGTAGCCAGCGTGCACAAATACATTCTGCATATATCATATGCCGCATCGGTAGACCTCTGCTCACCTCATGGGGTTGGGTGTGCAGTTGGGCTGGTAAGTTAGTCTGTAATACAAAGAGTGCGCTGCAAAGATTTTATAGAAACCTCTCTTTCTATGAGAATGTAGACTGGACCAGAGGTTTTCTGAATTCCTGGTAGGGCTGAGAGGTCAGCTCTGCTTTCCTACCTGTACCGCGTCTCCCCCCTCGGATACGTGTTTTTGTGTCTCGTGTTAAGAGTTGGCTAGATTAGAGGTACTGCTTAGCAGGGGTGAATAAGATTATATAATAGACTTACAACTATCTCTAGAAGGTCAGAATTCAAATAGATATATTATTGATTCTGGTTAGCTGATATTTTTGGATTCCCTCTCCTCTTTTACCAACATGGGTGATTTTAAGATTATCATCGTTGGTAGCGGATTGGCTGGTGTCACAGACCCCTGCTAGTTGATCTACTAGTACGGCGGACTCGTCGGGCAGAAAGCGTTGATAAAGGCAGTGCTTGGACAATCAGCAATACCATCAAAGGTATACCCAGGGTATACAGAGATCTCAGGATACCATTGGATCGACCATTGATCTGCCTTAAATGGTATATGATATGGTATACGAAGGATAGGATATAAGAACACTCTTTCATATACTTAGATAGTTCTGTTCTTTGTGCTTAATTCACATTATCTTTAAGTAACCATACATTAGGAAGCTTAGCAATACAACACTCATCCACACTTACTTACGGATCGTTGCGCAGCACTATCTGGCCTTACTTCTCTTCTCTTGTCCAAGCCCAGTTGCCCTTAGATAATCACTCAGCCTGATACCACCTCGATCCAGTTCGAGCGTACGTATACCAGTGAAGCTAAGCTAACAGGGACAGGGAAGCGATCCTAGGGTTTGACAGTAATTTACTCTGATACCTCGTTGATGCGCTCCGCAGCCCTATAGTAGCTGTAGAATGATTGCACACATGATCTGAATTACTACTAGGAAATAGCTATCATTCTATATGTTTATTTTATTATATTTAGTGGCGTTGATAGTTGAAGAGATCGATATCTAAGTACATGAAAATTGGGCTACTTGTCCGTTGCGACGACTCACCCGTTGGAATCAATACTTATTTAACTAATATGTATAGTAGTAAGAATAGTTATACGTAACATTTGTCTGCCTCACAGCTGTCCTCTTGGTTTTCTGCTTTTTAGAAAGTTCTTCAAGCTGTCTTCGTAGAACTTTTCTACTGGGACTTTTAGGGACCTGATCTAATACACGGATACCACCACAAAGTCGCTTGTGGTTTATAATCTTCCGGTTTATCCATGAGTGGGTCCCATTGATGACAGTCTTTATATCTCTTTATATTTCTATCTTGGGCTTGGCGACTAAGAGCAGTAAAAGTCAGAGGGAGTTCAACCACTTTCTCATCATCCACCCACAAGCCGACAACTCTGGCATCCTAAATATCGGGGTAGTCAACCAATCCCCTTCAAGTTCACTCGGGATCACCTGCAGACCTTTGTATTTGATAGTTTTCTTGGTACGGTGCTCGGCCCACTAGTGTAATACTTGAATTAACAAGATGGGATGCCGAAGAGGCCGTGACAGCCGTCAGGACTTGTAGTGTAAAGGGTGGCTCTTTATCCAGGATAACATATGTGACTATAAAAACGTCAATCGCACATGTATATACATAACTTACAGTATTTCGGGGCTGATTCCTTACCTAGTCAACAGGCTTTCTACCCTGACAAGTAAATCTTATTACATCCTTGAATCCAGAGAAAAAGCTATCAATGTCTCCTCCATACTTGAATGTATATCGATCGGCCTATAATTACGCAGGAATACAGCTTCTGTAACAGAAATATTATTTACAAGCTAGTCTTGATGCATGTTTGCGATGGACCGCGGTGGATGTCATAAAAGTCATAATTTCTGCCATTGGGCTGTGTTCTTGTGATATTTTTCGCGAACAAGACAGGACTTGATTTCCGATTCATTCAGGAACCATGAAATACAATTTTCCAAAAACTATTTTCAGTCATAGTATCCCGTAATTTGTGGCTTGATAAAACATAGCAGCTGTTGAAGATTGTCTAGAAAGTTTTAATTTTGAAACCTGGTTTGAGCGGGAGCGGGAGAACAGCTTGTGGGAGTCCGCCGAGCCCCGCGCAGTGAATGGCACGAGTGTGGGGCACCGGAACATCCGGAACTTTTTATGTGGCTGGAGCCAGAGAAGGTCAGATATGAGCACACTTCCCAATTTCCATGCCTTGCTCCCGCGTCTTGCCCCACTTTCCCCAGTGCAATCGCGTCCTAAACGATCGGAACCCCGCCGACCGGTGAGACCGACATTTAATGAAGCCAGACATTAGTGGAACGTCAAGAGCCAGTTCTGCTGGATGGTACACACAATACTCAGTCGGCGGAGGTTCTCGGAGAATATGTGGATTACAAACTTCGTCCGCAAGGTACGAATGTCAGGCCGATGAGTTTTGACAGCTGGAACATACTTCATGAACAGAATTAAGAAGTACCTGGAACATGCCTAATATGAGAATGTATACCTGACTCGATCAACTCTACTTAGCCATCTAAAAATGCAGGCAGACCTTAAACCCATGGCAGGCCGCAAACTGAGGCGTTCTTCCATTATCATTCGCATTCATATTCAAAATATCAATATCTGATGTCCGGTTTATAACTTTGGGCGTCAATCAAGTCTTCCAGTAATAAGTTATAAGATAGGCCCTTATAGCATTTACAACTTGGCCAAGCTGAGCTTGATCTGGCACCGAGTTGATGACCTGTTGCTGTGACAAATGCTTATATCGCTCCACGGGGATCCACAGCCTGCTCGGCGACCGATGAGACCGATACCCCGCTGCTAACCATTGAGAGTCAAACTTGCAAGAACATCGGAAGTCGATGACCAATGAAGCTAATATTTCCTGATATTTATTATTTGAAAAGGCTTCTTGTCAGGTCCACGGCTCTTAGACATCTGAAACCCTTGCCCGAAGTTTTTTTGAATGCAATCTCACTATATTCAAGAGTGCTTGTACTAAACTCGATAACTAGAAGCCATTATGACCAATAACAGTCTTCCTGTTATTCCTCTGCTCATAGGCGGCAAGGAGACGGCCTCAGTCCCGTCTATTCAGTTTCCAGTTTATTCCAACTTGCAACAAAAGGACGTCTACATCAGCGAGTAAGCAAATGTGGAAACGGCAAGGCTCGCAGCCGATGCTGCTCTCGCGAGTTTCAAGACCTGGAAGAAAGTTCCTGCAGTTGAACGCCGCGAACTTCTTCAAAATTACTCAAGGATCCTTCGTGCTAATGCAGAAGAGCTGATTTCTGTTCAGAAGGAGGAGACAAGCGCACCGGAACTTTTATGTCGCAAAAATATTGAACTTGCTACTGGCTTGATTGAAGAAACAGCCGCTTGTGTCACTTCGTTGAAGGGAGCTATTCCACCAACAACGTCCTCTTCTGTGCTATCCCTGGCATTCACAGTCCCTATCGGGCCTGTGTTGGTAATTGCGCCGTAGGTGGTTGCCACTATGCCCTTTATGCCTTCTAGGTGATGCTGACTCAAACAATCTTCAGATGGAACTCGCCTATCGTCCTCGGGGCAAGGAATATTGCGACCGCGGTCGCCGCTGGATGCACAGTCGTCTTTAAGGCGTCTGAAAACTGTCCTAAGCTCCATCATCTTTTGGTTCGTCTCTTTGAGGAAGCAGGACTCCCACGGGGAGTTATCAATGTTATCCAGGCGAGTCGAGAGATGGCCAGTGAAGTGACAGAGGCAGTGATTGCCCATCCCGCTATCCGTAAAGTCGAATTTGTTGGAAGTGCCGCTGTTGGACGTATTATTGGGCAGCTGTGTTCGAAGTACCTCAAGCCCATATTTATGGAGTTGGGAGGGAAGGGTCCTGCTATTATTCTCGAGGATGCTGATTTACCCGCTGCTGCGAAGCGGTGTGTTTTTGGAGGTATGTAACTTACCCTACCGCTCCCTCCAGGTCAAGTAAAAGGACGGTCAGGTTGATTTTATTTACTTTCTTTAGCCTTCCTCCACCACGGCCAAATTTGTTTCTCAACAGAGAGAATTATTGTTGTTGAGAAGGTGGCTGTGGAGTTCCAAAAACTACTCATCGCTGAAGCCGAGTCATTTCCCGTCACTGACGGAGTTAGTCCTAGGATCGTGAATGCTTCCCAAGAAAAGCTTCTTGACGCCCAGAAGAAAGGCGCTATTTTTCTTTGCGGTGGGCCAGAGAAAATCTCTCCATCAAAACTACGTCCAACAATTATCCAAGGCGTGACAAAAGAAATGGACATATACAATGAAGAAGCGTTTGGGCCGTCGGCAGCTTTATTTATTGCCCGTGACCCGGAACATGCTATAGAGATAGCCAACGATAGTCCCTACGGACTCAGTGCCGCTATTCACACCAGTGATTTTCATAAGGCATGGCTTATGACGCAGGAGCTCGATTTCGGACAGGTCCATATCAACGGTATGACTGTTCATGATGAACGTAAGTTACCTATTTCTAATACTTCCACTTCCCTGCGCGGCCCCAATTTCCCCCTTCCGTCGTAGAACTGGATTGATGGGCTAATTCCGTACTCACAGCAACGTTCCCAGTCGGTGGCGTGAAAGGAAGTGGGTGGGGTCGAAACAATGCCCTTTGGGGACTACAAGAATTTTGTGAGACGAAGTTGATGACATGGAGTGTTGAAGGGAACAAATTCATCTGATCTCTATCACAATGATCTATGGAATTGTTATCTTTCCGGATTTCCACGAACCTTTAGTACGGTCAGCTTTACCTTATCGCCATAATCAGTTTTACAGTGATCACCTACCCACTCTATCGAATTTTGATAATTTTATAGATCAAAGATGTCAGTGCCGGATTATCATATCCGTGCAAGGGTACCCGTAGAAAGCCCTGTGTGGGATTTTCTACAAGTTCCTCCGGGCTTAACGGCCAAAATCCTGTGTAAAGTACACCTCCGTAGCTGCACTAGCGCAAACAACGAAAGACAGTCGTGCTACTCGTCCTCATCAAACTCATTAGATGACAAGTGTCGCTCAATGTGTATTCAATCAACAGTGGCTAATAAAGCACAGATTAGGACCGGCCAATGAAGTGATAGTAATATTTCTCCTTACACTGGCCCAACATGATGTTAAGGGAGGTTTCATACCTGCTCACGGAATCTATCATCACAACAAGAGGACTGATCTTATTAGGACTTTCTGCTCGGCGTGTCCACCCAGCAAATAGAACAGCTGACACTAGTCTTAAAATTATATATAACTAGAAAAAAAAAGATGAGGTGCCTGCAGCCATTTTTACTGCGAGCAAAACAAAATTGAGACTGACTTTTATTGGAAAAGATCAAGCATCTTACAATGATATCTAGTCTAATAGACTCAAGAGAGAGCTGTAATAATAAATATCAGATTTAAGATTCTTTCTGCTTTGGAACGTCTTCGATTTCAAAACAACACCGATCCAAGCCTTTCAGCTTAGTAGTGTATCTGCGCTGTTAAAAGACTATATAGAACTGTACTGGCTGATAGACTTACTAGCCTGTTCGAAAAGCTTGTTCAATATAGTTCCAGGAAGTGCAAGGTATGCCCAGGGACGACTGCTATCGCCATCCACACTTATACAAAGAACCTTCCTTCAGGCCTTAATTACAGACGTTTAATGCCATACCTCAATTTCGTTTTAAGGGGTGGATTGTATGATCGGATACAACTGAAAATCTTATCAACGTATCTATCACCAGTTACTACCCACCAAACAGGCTTCTCATCAGTCATTGTACGACCCTATGTGAAAATATAGTGACCATAGTGAAGACTTTCAGATCCAGAGTGAGAACTTAGATGGTGACAGGTTAGGTCAATCTTAGGGTCCATGCAGACTCCGATTACCTTCCAAATCGTGTCACACTATATTCTGAATTCTTGTTGAGACCAAAATCGAAGATTTGGGTTGACTGGCACCTCTTCAACCCAAATTGATTTATTATCCAGCTGTCATTGATGTAATAAACCTGCTTGAATCCAGTTCATGTCGCATTGTCCACTCTGATGCTAATCAGGTACTGATTTATTTATGATTACAGTAGGAATTCCAGAAAAAACGGTGACATATCTATCAGCTTTTAGTACTTATATCAGATTTTTAAAGTGCATTAAGCAGCTTCTACGGAGTACTAAAGACTAAATATTATGAATGAAATAAGATTTTTGTTTATATGCTGACTGTGATAATTTAATTTAACTTAATATTTATATCACTTTTATATTTAAGAATTATATATTATCGTATACCATACACAAAGTAGCTGCAGTCAGTGGATTACCCCTAAAAATGGAGATAGGTTTACGTATGCATGTACACTGTGGGGCTAATGTAATCGGTCATTGAATAATATCTGTAATTGTGTATAATTCTGTTTGAAATTATCTTGGCATGAAGCCATGGTACGACGACTTCTCCAATCCTTCTTCCGACCACATCCCGGCGGGGTGCGCATTGTGGGGACAGGTGGGGGCATGTTTATAAAGACCTAACCCCCCCCCTCCCCCTCCCTTCCGGGAACTTTGACAGCATAATCATCTTAACAACGAAGTGGGATATCTACATCATGTACTTAAAACTTAAGCCCCGAAGCTACCCTTGCTTTTCATGCTGACGAGTCTAGTACAAGCCCCTCTTAGCCTTCCTTTTGACACGTTGTCTCAATATTGAACAGTGTAAAAAGTGTGCCAATATGGTTACGTCTACTACATCCCCGTCAACGACCGAGAGGCTGAAGGCCAAGCACCTGGACCTGCATTTCTTCAAGCCTAAGTCCCTATCGACTCACCCTCTCTATAAGGATTTCAAAATCGAATTCCTTCCTGGTGAGTGTAAGCTCCTGCCTGCCGGGCATCTCAAAGCCCCTGGCCGTAAGATGATGCAGGTAGATACAATGTTGGAATACGATGTGGCTGTTCCAATGCGAGACAATATCAAGGTATATGTCGACATTTTCCGACCCGCAAATTCAGAGCAAGAGCCTGTTCCAGCTATCATGGCCTGGAGCCCTTACGGGAAGCGTGGCTCTCCATGGAACCTGGATATGCTTCCCTTCCGACTGGGTGTTCATCTTGATGAGACCTCCGGCTACGAGGCTTGGGAAGCTCCCGATCCCGCGGATTGGTGCAAACGTGGTTACGCCGTGGTAAATTGCGATTCCCGTGGAGCTGGGAATTCCGAAGGCACGCAGTTCTGGTGGGGCACTCAGGATGCGGAAGATATTTACGACACTATCGACTTCCTCTCCAAGCAGCCGTGGTGCAATGGCGCGGTCACCATGGCCGGCAACTCCTACCTGGCTAAGTGTCAACTCACTTATGCATCTCGATTTACCCACCCGGCTTGCAAATGCCTTGCACCTTGGGAATGTCTGACAGATGTTTACCGGGAGCTTTTTCATAGAGGAGGTATGCTGACGAATATGGATTTTTATCCTGGTCTTATAGAGGCCGCTTGTGGTAATCAAGAGACCGAGAATATATATGAATATTCCCAGAATCACGAGTTGTTTGACGATTACTGGGATGATAAGGCCGAGCGAGTTGAGAATATTGACACGCCGATGTATATCGTGGCATCATACAGCAATCCCTTCCACGTGAATGGCTCTTTTAATACTTTTCGTCGAGCCGGAACGAAGCAAAAGTGGCTGAGAGTCCACAATTCTTTCGAATGGTGGGATCTTTACCAGAAGCGAACCAACGATGATCTACAGAGATTCTACGACCGCTTTTGTAAAGGAATCATGAATGGCTGGGAGCATGATACGCCTCCGCTACGCCTTACGCTACTTGGAATGAATACTCTGCCTGATATCGTCGACAGGCCCGAGAAAGAATATCCCTTGGCTAGACAGCAGTTAAAGAAACTTTACCTCGATGCTTCCAAAAAGACCCTGGTCCCTTCGCAGCCGACCCTAACAGCCAAGACAGCTCATGAAAGTCATAGTTTAGATGCTTCATCGGTAGGTCATACACCCCCTTTGGAATCTGAGCCAGTAACTAAAACACTACAGGACTTCATTTTCAAATTCGCCGAGTACACTGAGATTGCAGGGTACTCAAAGGTTCGCCTATGGGTATCCTGCGATGAGAAGGATGATTTGGATGTTGTTGTACAGATTCGCAAAATCGATAAGGCCGGAGATCCACTGATGCAGCGTACATTTCCTGCCCCGGTCGTGGATAGTGAAATCCCCTTCACCAATCACCTGAAAGTGACAGGTTCCCAAGGATTTCTCCGAGCATCCCATCGGGTCTCCCGGGATGAGAAGAAAACTAGTCCGGACGGACAACAAATTTTCTATACGCATGACCGTGCAGAGAAGATTACGCCGGGGAGCATCGTGCCATTGGATATTACGATATGGCCGATGGGCATGGTATTTCAAGGTGGTGAAGGTATTATGCTGAGGATCTCTGGCCATAGCATGAATGGGCTCGCCTTCAAGATCGCCCAGGATCCAGATGATGTCAATGTTGGACAACATGTCGTTCACACTGGGGGCCCGTATGATTCTCATCTGATTGTGCCCATCATTTCAGGTCCTCGTCCTTGAAGTCCTATCCTATGGGACTTCGCCTACTCCACAATAACATAAATCGGACACCGAACCGGCGGTGACACCGAACCGGCGGCCGCCGCCTCCGTTCCCCTACCAAAACAACGCGTACACCAACCATTAGATCATCATTTAAATCATCATTTGAAGCTTTACAACTCGCTTTTTTTCTTGATATGGAGGCCTTATCTCGCGATAAAAGACTTGCTGTTGCAGTTGAAGCCTGTAATCAAGACGAATTTAAGTTAAACACTGCATGCGCAGCTGTATTTAATATCAGAATAAGCACCTTGAGGATTATGTGAATGGCACGAATTCTTGTACAGAAATACTTGCTAATTCAAGGAAACACTCTTATCTAAAGAAATTGACACTTAAAGAATAGATGTGAGCCGGTCAATTATGTCTTATTTGGTGCATCTAGACTAGAATATCGAACATGAGGAGGAAAAGGAAGAAGTGTAGAGGGAAGCGTGCGAACAACAAAGGTAAGCGAGCGAAGATGTCTAGATAGGCTTCGATATCGGTGGACCAGCGGTTGGAGTAGGCATCATCATGGCTTAGACTTGATATTATCGACACGACGCAGCTTTTGGATATCATTGCCGGGAGGAGAGATTGGAGAGGAAGAAGATTTCGGAGTAGCAGCAGTCACCATGGCCTCGTGCAAAGGGGTATAGCGCTGCTGCTGGGAAGAGTTGCTGCCCGAGAAAGATTTATCATGCTTGAACTGGTCCCGAAAGGGGAGCGGCATATTGCCTTACGAGAAAAGGTGCATTGGGATAGAGGGAGGAATGAATGCGGATGGAGGGACGGGGTACCTATGCACCGGCAAAAAGGGAGTGGCTTGGAGAGTAACGATGTGACGCCATTCAAGCTTCCCGAGCTGCCGCCCGCCAATCACACGCCATTCATCCCGCGGCCGACGACGGCGGAGGATCACGATCTGGACCGTCTGCCTCCTGATTCTCCCCATTCCTCAGGCTAAAGCGAAATAACGGTCGGGCGATTGCTCAACTGTCTACTACCTTATAAATAGTGACGGCCTTTTGTCGCTGCATCTAAAGGGATACGGATAGCTAGTTTTATATAGTCCCTTTGTTCTATAGCTTTTTTCAGTGATTAAGGTATTTTAGGTGTCGATATTGAATATCTAAATGGTTGATGTTGACGGGTTTTAAGGAATGCTTGGTATGTTGGGCCATCCGCTTACATGGGCCACTCGCTTACCGATTACGTTATAGAAGGTAAGAAGAAACTGCCATCGGATGAGCCGACTTGACCAATGCGAAATAGGTCTTGGTAGTGTAAGACGCACCGAAAATGAGAAGTATCTCTTCCATGTTCCGGCCAGTCAGGCAGGTGTTAGCGTCAAGTAGTTGGCTGTGTCTATATTTCGATTTAGATTTTTGCCCCGGTAACACTGGGTCATATCAATACTGATATTCGGTATCTAAGACATATAAAAACTGCTGTGCTTTGATGAGAATTTTCTACCAAACTATACAGCCTTTCTCTCTCTTGTTGGGCCTATATAGTGAATCTTAGACGGTACTGCCAATGACGACAGCTCATTTTGTTTTTAAACCACTTACGGAGTAGTATTCTTGAAGACCAGGAACCCCAGACTAGTATATAAGAGTAAGTTACCCCAGGTTCTCCTCCGAGAGGGAAGCTGACATGGACCAGTCTTCGAGTCATAATACCTTGAGGGGATTCTGACATTACTCGAGTCAAGAAGACAGGTGCACCGCCTTTTGGCAGTTTGAAAATCGGTTTGCAATTTCTCACGGTACATAATCTCACACCCAGGAGTAGTTGCGACCTTTAATCCGTAGGCGATCTGAATTTAGCCGGTCAGACCTGACGGGATACGACGCTGACGTGCAACCACCTGGCTTTCTTATCGGATGAGGGGAGAATAGTCGATTGGAGGAGAAAAGTACGGAGTTGATCAAGACAGGGTCCGAGGGCAGTGTGGCGGCCATGTGCAAACGTTCCCGCTACTTTCTGACGCAGCCAGCACCTCCATGTGCGCTCTTAACCACCCACTGCTTGCTCACTGGCCACACACCGGGCAATTGTGGCTCCGTCCCAGCATAAAGACAACCATAGGTAGCCCTAGGATTCCGGTTTCCCTATGCTTGCTATGGTGTACCATATAACTTGATATAGGTCGCAAGGATGGCTACTCCGACAAAAGTTATAGTATGGTTTCTGGTTTTTAGTTGGATGAACCTGGCATAGCAGCAAGCACGATGAGGCAAAAGTCTCCTTCCTTGCTTCCTTGTGATTTTCCAGTTATGTTGCAATGGTCCAGCTTCAGAATAACCTACCATGAACCAGTTGGATTGGTCTCGAGCTGCTCTTAGCCCCAACATGACGACACCATCGATGCTCGAACAGAGAGAGTCAGTTCAGCTTGTAATAGCGTCAAAGGCAATGAGAAGACCCCACCTTCCTCAGCTGCAGCGTGGTCGGTTAGTACTAATATGTAAATGACACCACAACACCCTGACCCTACCAGACCAGTGCACCAACAGTAATGACACTTGACATAGCGTCCGTCCTGTCTCTGATCCCTCGGCGCCCAGAGCAATTTGACCTGCTCCAACAGACACTCCTATACCTGGTGGTAATCTTCTACCACACTCAATACCACGCACCCAGCTATCATGTGAAGTTTTTCGGAGCATAAGCTCGGTCTCACTCTTCACGTCAACACCGGGCTCTTTGAGGTCTTTGCGGACCGCATCCGCCGCGTCCACCTGGGCCCTGATAGATTCCTGCCCAGCCCCCTGGACGTGCTCTCCTGCCTGGTCTGGTCGGTCACCAGTCAGAACTAGTGGAAAACATTGCGTCGCGGCGATCCCCGAACAACACAAACCTCATTCCAAGCTGGAGCCGTGCTCCGCCCAGTCGTCTGCGTCCTCACTTACCTGCTCCAGGACCCCGACTTCCATCGGCTTTCGATTTATGCGCTGGACAGCTTCGTGTATGCGCGTGCGTTCATCTTCTTCTTCTGCTATACGCCGTTTCTGCGAGATGTGCGGGGCGAGACCATCTATGCGTTGGCAATCCCCTTGTCGGCCGCATTCAGTATCCATGAGAGCCGTGTGCCTGGGGCATCGCTGGGCTTTGTGTGCGGACCATGGCGTACATTGCCGGACTGAACGAGTGGGTGTCACAGAGGTCTCAGATCATGATAAAGTGTTTCATACATTTTGAGCTATATGGGTATCTGACGCTCTAATCCAGGCTTGATGAACGAGCAAAGGTGTCCGCATTGGAAATTTATTTGGTCAAGGGCCTGCGGAAGCTGGGATACGCTGGATTGCCCGAGCTGCGAAAGGTCACTCTCAAACGGGCTTTGAAAAAGCCGCTGGTAGATGATTATATCTTTACCAGCGAGGGGTCTAGCTGATGATTTTAATCAAGTAAGCTATCAGAGGCATGATTTAAACCTTGTACAGTTAGTTGTTTGACTTCCACCCATAATATCGGGTCATCTGTTGCGGCTGCAGTGTTTTGAAGACGACTGCTCCCAATTGCTCGGAACACGCACCCGAGTGTATAGCAGCGGCAAATCAGCCTAAAGCGGAAAGGTTTACGGCAAGCCCGGGGCCGGGGAATGGGGCTGTTGTTGCCGTTGCCAAGGAAGCCAGTCCTGTCTTGTGCCTGATAAGTAACTTGAGAACTTGAGAACCACGTGACCTGAACTTACCTTACAGCCATTCTCTCTGGCTCCGTTCTCTCCACATTCTTTAGATCGATCGCATGGTGGAGAAGGTAGACAAATCAAAAAACGTGTGAATCTGTGAACATAATACATAACTATATCTCCTCCATCATGTAGCAATTATTAGAAGGTGAGCCAACATGGCCTGGCAGTTGTGGCAAGACAGTTCGATCTTTCTAGCGGCTATCCATGGAATCCTGGAGTCTCGACCAAACCAAGCCTTCGTTAGCGGAAAGCCGTAGGGGAGAAAAAGACCCTGCTTGATGTCATCCACTGGTTAACTCCGGCGCAATACTATCAATGCGACTAGACTACATAATTATTCATGGTCATCCTGCGGGTCTCCATTTGAGGCCCCCGAAGTTCCATCTATCTCCCTTCCCTTTTCTTTCCCTTTCCCCCGTTACCTCCAGGTCTTCGGATTCGGATCTCTCCGCGATACTTTAATTCCTTCAAGTCTCACCCCTCTTTTCTACCCAATTTGCGGTCAGTTTCTCTGCTAGAGTCTCCTGAAATTCTCATGCGCCGCTCCCGGCGATACCCGGACCATGGCGGAGGGAATGCGACCAGACCGAGGAGGCCCTGCGGTGTCGCGGGCCTTGACAGTCCCCGCGATCGTCACCAGCACCGCATCTTCTTCCTCCTCCATTCCAATCCACGAGACCTCCACCACCAGCACAACAAATACGAGCAATAGCCCCACGGTGCTCAATCGCGGCGATCAGAGTCCCAATGCCTCCAAACCCAGCCTGATCCGCTCCTCCCAGACCTTTCCGATCGGTATGTCCGTGCAGTCCCGAGACAGATTCCCCGCCCCATCCTCAATCGCCTGCTGACACGAGTTCTTCCTTGACCCAGCTTCTAGTGCTTCGGACTTTGCTTCAGTCTCGAGCGTAGCCCAACAAGGTGGCAAAAGAAACTCTCATACCCTGCAGTATCCAAGCAACGGTTCCGTGAAAAACACCGCATCCTCCCCGACCGTTTACCAATCGACAACCGACTCGAGTGCCATCGATCCATTATCACAGGTAAGGCTGATCGCTTGTTCTCGTGGTCTAGATGGTCTAGGTGGCTGATTGACCGTGCGTTCCCGATAGCATATCATCAAGCGCACCAACACCCACAAGTCGATCCCTTTGAAGCTATTGGGCAGGGCCTCATACGAAGCGGAAGCGGGCGGAGGGGATCATCGTGGCTCCTTAGACCATGGCTCAAATCGAGGAGATGCGACAATGTATCCGAAGACCTCCAAGGAGAAGAAGTGAGTGTTAAATCCTTTTATAGCCATGGCCTTTACCCCGCAATATCTCCATGCGGCTCACATTGTTCTTTCCCCCTTTCGGACCTGGCGGAGATAATTTGCTGATCGGTCGAATTCCCCGTTCAGCAGGAAAGGCGTTTCCTTCTTGAGTCGTATCATCCCCGGGAAAAAGAAGGACCAATATTTGGATGACGAGGACGATGTCTCCGAGCCTGAAACAACTCGCATGGATACCGATGCCGCCTCGCAGCCGATAGGATTCTTCCCTCGATTTCCGCCTCCTCCAAAATACATTCGCGTCCGAGCGCATTATAAAAAGGAAAAGACATTCAATCGGGTCTTCGTGGCGCAGGAGCTCGAGGGTGCCAGTGGTGCTGTGGGTAGTTCGGACAAGGATGCCTCTGTATCTTCGACTGGAGTACCAAACGAAGCCAAGACGGGCAAGGCTATCTGGGCGCTCGTTTTCTCAAACGACGGCAAGTACCTTGCAGCTGCGGGTCAGGACAAGAAAGTGCGCGTCTGGCAAGTTGTGAGCTCTCCGGAGGACCGCGATGCGACAAAGCCCGCAGAGGACGGTGATGATAGTCCTCCACTGTTGAACGCACAAGTGTTCAAGTCTCAACCCGTCCAAATTTACGAAGGTCATACGGGTAGCGTGCTTGATCTCAGCTGGAGCAAGGTACCTCTCTCTACTTTTCCTGTGCGCAGATCCATGCTGACTCATGGTCTTAGAACAACTTCTTGCTCTCTTCATCAATGGATAAGACAGTTCGCCTCTGGCATGTGAGCCGGCCAGAGTGTTTGTGCTGCTTCAAGCACAGTGATTTCGTCACATCGATCCAATTCCACCCGCGAGATGACCGGTTTTTCCTGGCCGGATCCTTGGACACCAAGCTGCGGTTATGGAGTATTCCTGATAAGAGCGTCGCCTTTGTAGCCACCGTCCCAGACATGGTTACAGCCGTCGCCTTCACACCCGACGGACGTCACTCCATCGCTGGGACTCTCAATGGGTTATGCAATATATACGAAACTGATGGGCTGAAGGCCGTTGGTCAGATTCACGTTCGCTCGGCTCGCGGCCGCAATGCCAAGGGTAGTAAGATCACTGGTATAGATACGATGGTTTTGCCGACCGGCGACCTGTATGGCGAGGTGAAGCTCTTGATCACAAGCAACGACTCTCGCATCCGGCTATACAACTTCCGTGACAGAACACTGGAAGCCAAATTTCGCGGCAACGAGAACACCTGCAGCCAGATCCGCGCTTCCTTCAGTAATGACGGAAAACACATCATCTGCGGCAGTGAAGATCGCCGAACATATCTGTGGCCGACAGATTCTATCGAAAAGGACTCTGACAAGCGGGCCGTGGAGGTATTCGATACACAGTCAGCAATGGTGACGGCCGCCATTATGGCTCCGACGAAGACGAAGCAGATTCTGGGGTTCGCTGAGGACCCGATCTTCGACATCTGCAACCCACCGCCTGTGACCCTGATGAGCCAGGCAGAGCGGGAGAACAAACGGTCGCATCGTAACTCCGGCGCCACCAAACTGGCGCAAGAGTCGCCCGCGTATTTAGCTCGGTCGACGCACCCGGATGGAAACATCATGATTGTTGCTGATTATTCTGGCAAGATTCAGGTGCTGCGCCAGGACTGTGCCTATCAGAAACGAAGGTTCGACAATTGGGATGCGCATTCCACCATCTCTCGACGGATTCTGCGACGCACCAACTCGGCCCGGCACAGCATCGCATCTTCAACCGGGAAGGATTCTACGCACAAGACACCATCAGAGCGCATCATCTCGTGGCGTAACTCGGTCATCCGTCACGGGACGAGCAACAGCCGGTCAGGCATGCGGACCCCACGCACCCGCAGTCCCTCTCCGCACAAGTCGCTCCGCGACGGGCTTTCGGGGTATTTTAGTCCAGGCCGGGCGTCGTCCAGCGCGGCACGGCCGGACTCCCGCTCGGTATTCACCACCTCGCCGCCGCAGTCTGCCTACAAACAGTCCATGGAGAGCCGCCGCTCGAGCGCAGAAACCTCCCGCGTCCTTGCTAACGCACAGGCGGGACAACAAGCGATTCCGGCCTCGACGACCATGTTCGCCAAACCCGACGACAAGGACAACCCGCTGTGGCTGCAGGGCGAACACAGCTACGCGTTCTACAACAAAATCGCACGCGACGCGCTCGCGATGCGGAAGAAGCGCAAGCCCAGCAGTGGCAGCGGGCTTCCCAGTCCGGGCCATCTGGCAGTCCCTGGTGAGCGCAACATGAGTCTGGGGAGTGCGCTGAGCAGCGACTATGGGTCCTCGAATGGAGAGGGCGAGGACGGTGAAGTGCTCCGGTGCGAGAGCTGCGCGGGCACCAACTTCCGAGCGACGAAGGGGCGCAATGGAAGACAGCGGCTGGTCTGCGTGCGATGCGGCCAGCCAATCACGTAGTTGGTGTGATGTGTACGGAGCAGATGGGATAGAGAGGTTCCAACGGAACCTGGGACATGCATAGTATTCGATGTAATTATTCCAGTCTGATTTTGTATGATAAGTAGATAGGTTATATATAGCCTACACTGTACAGTAGGTACGAGGGATGAATGACGAATGATACAATTGATCTTTCAATCGAATCTACCTACCCACTTACCCAGTACTCACTCCTTTTTATCCAAGTCTGGCTCTCAGTTCTGAAGCACATCACCTCTAAAAACCCCTCGGCGGCAGATCGGCCCCGACATCTCACCGCCCAGGCCAACAACAGCACTCCGGCCGCTCCAACCACCAGAACGCATCACCAAAAGACTACACCGGAAGACAATTCACCTGCAACTTGACCAACACCGACCACACACTCACCCTCCTGCTGCTGCATACATACTTCCCTCCTACGATATTCCCATATCGTATCCACCAGGATACCCAGACACACAATGCCATACCTCCCCACCCCACAATCCTACCTCGAGCAATCCGCTCTCCTTCTCCAAGCATATCCTGATGCGGTACGTATTCCCTACTGAGATGTTAGGATTCCACACACACACACACACACACACACACACACACACACTCATACCCGTACCAATCCAATCGTCATAATCAGCAGTCATTCTCTCAGCCTCTAACTTTCACATCCCCCCAATCCTTATCAATCCCACTCATCCCCCTCACATAAACATAAGCAGAAATCTAACAGGAAAAAAAAACAACAGAGAATAACAACGAAATACACATTCCCCTCCACCTCCTCGAAGACCCATCCCACACCCTCATCCCAAACCTCGTCCTCACAACCAGACGCACAAGCCGCGCCGCAAGACCCCAAACCCCGCATCGCAACCCTCACCCTCAAGACCTTCCACCCCGAATCGGGCATCTGTCTCAAGTACCGGACCAACAAAGGTGCGGAGGTGGGGCGGTTGATTTCTTCGTTGGGGAAGTTGGCGGCCGGGGTGGATGTTGAGGGGTTAGGGTTGGGTGTGGCGGCTACTGCGGTGGGTGGGGGGGATGTGGAGATGGGGGATGCGCCTGCTGTGGGTGTAGAGGCGGGGAGTGACGGGGCTGCGGCTGCGGCTGCTGCGGCAGGAGGGAA